AGTGCTGCCCCAGAAATTGCTACATTAAGCAGTGCATCAGGAGCCTGTAATCCCATTAACTTTACCATCCTAAACCCAAGAGACCCAAAATGGGAAGAAATTTGCCAAATTGGCCTAGGTATTGATGATAAGGGCAAAGACCCAGGGGCTGTCCTGTTTATCAAAAAGGTTAAATAGGCAGATAGGCCCAAACCTTCTGGGTATTTCACTAATTTTATGAAGAAATGTATTAAGACTTTCCCCAATCTACTGCTTCTGTAATGAACCTATTCATAGAAATGGCAGAAAGAATAGCCCACACTCTAAATGTGATCTCCTGTTATGTGTGTGGAGGAACCATGATGGGGGATGACTGGTCATGGGCGGTCCATGAATGGGACCCAGTCAGAGCCCCAATCTCTCCACATAAATGATAACCCCACATACTGGGCTCCAGATATATCCATTATTGGGAAAAGGTGTCTGGCCAGAATGGAGAGTAGATTTCACCACCCTGGTAAGGCAACCTTACCTGTACTGGGAAGAGGTTCCTTAACCACTCCCTAGGCAAAGGGTAATGGTGATCATTAGGTAATGACATGACCCCAGCCATAACTACAAAACTGGACTCAGGTATACTAAGTATGGCCTAACCTAACCCTTCCTTTTCCTTTGGTGGCGCCTGAGGGATTCTATCTGATTTGCGGCCACACTGCTTACTTTGCCATACTGCCAAGTCTCAGGTCATGAATATGTCCTGGGAAGGGTCAGGCCTTCCTTCTTAATACCTAAAGCTCAAGGGGAATGCCTGAGACACACAGCCCCTGAAATGTCACTCAGTTGAAAGAAAGAGATGATGTTTCCCACCTGGGCAGAAGATGGCTTGTGGGGATCTAGAACCCTCATTTACATCCTGAATCACATCATTTGATTGCAGACTGCCATAGAGATCATAACTAATGAAACTCTTCAGGCACTTAACTTGAAGATAAAATACCACACCAAGTTTCAAAATTCTGGTCCTGCCAGAATAGGTTAACTGCTTACCAAGGAAGATGGAGTGGTATGTAGAAAAAGTTTAACCAACTGTTGTCTTGAACTAAATGAAAAAAGTGAAGTATAAGAGATCAAAAAGATTACCGAAAAGATGCAAGACATGTCCCATGTCCTAGTTCAGACCTGGAACAAATGGAGCCTTGATGGACTACTTGGAGGTTGATTTTTTTTCAGGATGGAGACTTTAAGACCCTCATAGGGGCAGTCATGGCTATCTGTTTAAGATGTCTAATCATCCGTTGCTTACTTCCCTGCTTGGTAAAATCCATAACAGGATTCATAGACCTGACCACAGAACGTGGGACTACAACTCACCTAATACTTCTCCAAAAATAATCAATGGCTTAGCATGGAAGATACATAGGAAGTTGATGCCCTCTAGACAAGAGGGCATTAAAGGGGGGAATGAGTTAAGAAACCAGAGTTGGTTGGGGAACAAAACTACAGGGCATTATCTTGAAAAATGCCCAGAAAAAGGGCCGTTTCAGATTCATAGCTTCTGCCTTTGTAAACACACTTACTGCTAAATACCCCACACATGGTCCTCAGTCACACAGGCTAAGAATTTTAACCCACCAATGACAGAACAGGTCTGAAGTGATACTGGATAGCCTATAAATATAAAAAACTGTGGGTAGGGGCTCAGGCTTTGAAGGTTACTCCCCTGAGTGTGTGCTGGCATGAATAAAATCTCTGGATTCTGCACTCTGCCTCCAGTACTGGTCTCAGGCATGTTGAATTCCTATAACAAATCTAGGGTTCACCCCTCTTTATGGCTCTATTCTACCCTTAGTAGGGTCTAAAGAATGGACAGGATATAATTGGACCACCCCATGCAATTGGGAAGGGAAGGGGTCTTACCCAATATGTTTCACCATAAATGTTACTATTGCTGAGGATTCAATGACCATTAATTTTGATGTCTGTCTTGTTATACCTTGTGGGGACTATTTTCAAAGAAAGCCTGAACCTAGTCCCTCCTTTCCAATTCCCCAGTTCATTTGAATATCCTTGTCCAACCTGGAATGATGTTATGTGAGCTACCTAGCCTTGGGGTCAGCCCCCTTTGTTGACTGGCAGTCTCAAAACTATACACCTTTAAAGGAAAAGTTCCAATTAATATGGGGCTTACCTTCCCCTAACTGCTTAGAAATGCTACCAAGACTTTTAGAAACGACCCTGCCAAGGTAATAATCACAGAAGTCAAAGATCTGAAATAGGCCTTAGGCATTAAGACAGGATATGGAAGCAGAAGTGCCTGGTTAGAATGGATAAAATATTCAGTTTGCATGCTCAATAAAAGTGACTGTTATGCATGTGTGGCTGGGAGACCTGAGGCTCAAGTAGTCCTCTTCCTGTTGTGATGGTCCTCTGATTCCAATGGCATATATTGCATGATCTCTCTCTTCCACGTCCAGGAGGCCTGGAGCAATGAGTACTGTCCCACCTTGTTGCTCATGCCTTGTTAAAGGCATGAGGAATCAACTGTCTCTATATAGAGGAATCAACTGCCTCTATGGCTCCTCTATAGGGAGCCATAGAACCCCTATCTCCCAGAAGTAATTACACTTCATGCTTCTCCAGGTTGGGGAAGCAGTTAGAGCTAGTGGGCAGTGTACCTAGATGCAGTGAAGGCCAATCTTGGAGAGATGACTAACCAGTCAGCCCTGGTGGTCACACAAGTAGACTTCTGGTAGTGTTGTGGAGGACCCCTATTTGATGTCTTACCATTGATTAGAGTGGGACTTGTACTTTAGTCCAATTGGCTATCCCTTTCATTATGGCATTTAGACATTCCTGCCCATCTCATGGCCCTCCCCCAAAGAAACAGGAGCTAACTCCAGGAGGTTTTTTTGACTTGCACATTTATATAGATGCTATAGGGGTGCCCCAGGGATTCCTGAATGAATTCAAAGCCTGAAACCAAATAGCAGTTAGTTTAAAGTCAGCCTTGTTTTGGTGTTTGACCATTAATAAAAATGTAGATTGAATCAACTATATCTATTACAATCAACCAGCAAAATGGCTTGGGAGACTAGATTAGTATTATATGTGATTTGGGATGAAAAAGGTGGAGTGTGTATAATGTTGGGAGGACAATGTTGCAATTTCATCCTATAACACAGCTCTGGATGGGACCATTACCAACAGCCTCCAAGGTCTCAATGCCCTCACTAATGAAGTAGCAAAAGATTCAGGAATAGATGACCCCTTTACTAATCTAACAGAACAATGGTTTGGCAAATGGAAGGGTATAATGACCTTGATTGTAACATCCTTGGTTATAATAATTGGGGGTCATGAGTCTAATAGGGTGTTGCATAATCCTCTGTGTTTGAGGCTTAGTCCAGAGACTTATAGAAGTAGCCTTGACTAAACAGTCTATTACTTATCATAACAGCAACTTGCTCTTGTTAGAGACAGTAGACAAAAAAAAGTCAAGACATGTTGCTGCAATTTGAAGAGAGTTTGGTAGTATAATAAAGATGGGGGAAAATTACCAAAATTTCAAATCTCTTCTATCAAGAGAATGATCACAGGGATGTAACCTTTGTAATGCTATTCTGTAACCTCCCCAACCTGGTAAAACTTTTGTTTACGTAAAGGCTCTGCCACCTTCCCTGAACTTAATGGTCCACAGCAATTTATCTCTTTCCCCTTTCCTTCATTTCCTTTGCAACGATTCTTTTGAAAGTGTCAAGTTAGACTCCAACCAATTATGAAAAGACACAGTTCTCTGTGTTAGGATAAAAAAAAAAACATTAATTTTTCTTCCCAGTGTACTTGCTTGCTACTGGAATAAGGCTATGCACCCCTTTGCAGAAGTCAAAGTGGCCTTGCTGAGTTACTTTTGCTTTGTCTATGTGTTCTTTATGGAGTATCAGTGGGGTCCTTGGACCCTAGATTTTATTTCTGATACCCATAGCATTGCTGTCTAGGAGAATTTTGGCAGTGATGCAAATGTTGTATTTCTGTGCTATCCAACATGGCAGCTGAATCCTTGAAATCTGACTAGTGCAGCTAAGGAGTTACTTACTTAGATCTCATTTTAGTGTGCTTAAACTTAAATCACTGCTATATCCCATAGCTCTGGATGTTTCTCACCCTAGGTCACACTTGAATTTCTTGAAGTGTCTTACAAATTCTGACACCTGGTATCTGAGCCTCACCTTGAGATCCTGATTTTGTTGATTTAGTGTTGAACTTGGGCATCAGAATTTTGGAAACAACTCAGATGATTCTGCAGTAAGCCAGGGTTGAAAGGCCCCTATCCTAACCTTTGTCTATCATACTGCCAGAGATAGGCAGGGCCCTCTTGTCTCAGCTTTGCCTGGTGGGAGGTGTTCTGGGCCATAGAAGGCCTTCACTTGCTCTGGTCTATGCTGACGCCCCTCTCCTCATGGAGCACCACATCTTTGTTATCCCCTCCACTTCTGGTAGGAAGAATAGGCCTAAGGCCTTGCACACAAACTGCAGTTTCCCTCCCTCACTAGCCTTGCCCACTTCTCGGTTTAAGGACAGCGTTTATGTACCTCAGTGCCCTGAAGGACCTGCTAGGGCTCAGTGGTCAGGGAACTTACCTTTTGCAGGCCCGTAGGGCTCTTGGACAGAGCCCAACCAGCCATTTTCCCAGGCTGGGCTGGACTTGAGGTGGAAGGGTAGGGGGCAGTGGCCAGGCTTGAGGTTTGGCCACTTTCTGCCCCTTTTCCTATTAAACAGATAAGCAGATGAATGTGTCTGGGGCACCAATAGTACAGAAGGTTTTAGTAACTGAAACTTGGAGAAAGACTTCACGTGCTTTGGAATAATCTTGGTGCAGAGGTTCACACCTGCAGCTGCTGCCCACCCACCTACTGTTGCCGCCTTCATCCCCAAAACAACTTTTCTCATGACTCACATGTGGCAGCTTGTGCACTTCTTTTATTATTAAATATAAAAGCAGCTTCCTATTTTTTAAATAGATATTTAAATGACTTATATAAAATAATTCACCACTTCCAAGTATAAAAACGCAGTCTCACAGTTTGTGAGCCCATGTTCCCTCTGGGCTTTCTCAGAGGAAAGAAGGGGTTCCTGTGCCAGGGAGGCACCCAGAGGTGGATTTGGGGCTCCTCCTGCTCTGATGTCACCAGGCACCCACAAAGAGCTTCTTGCAATGGGTTGATTTGCTAGACTGACTTTAATACTATATGTTTAAGGTGGAGGGGTAAGGGAAGAATGCCTTTTTTTTTTCTGTGTTTTTCCTTCTATTTTTAAATACGTATTTATTTATTTATTTATTTTAGCATGGAATATAGTCTGTGTCTAGAAGGATAAGCCCATAAGAAAGTTCTCCACTGCCCTTCCCCTCAACCATCTCAGGACAGGGCTTGGGGGGACCTGCAGACCCGCAGTCTCTCTGGTCAGAAAGGTTGTAGGCCCAGTAGCCAGGGCAAGAAAGGAGGGACGCAGCAGCATAAAAAGATCAAGGGTCAAGTGACAGCCTTGTATCCAGACCCAGGTCTCAGAGTCACAGACAGGCCTGGCCCAGGGAGCAGAGGCCCTCAGAGCAGAGTTGGAAGCAGACAACCTATCTCTTGATCCCTCTTTAGCACTGGCTTGCTTGGCCAGAGATGGCAGAGTGGGGTGGGTGAGACTGGGAGGGTATCACTGCCTACCAGGGTCAGGTCTAGAGAAAAAAGACCAGATGGGAGCTGGAGATGTACATCTGGGGCTGAAATACAGCCCAGCCCCCAGAGCTCCTGACTGGATAACCTGCTTAGCCCCAGGCTGTAGGCAACAGAAGAAGAGGACTGGACTGAGGGGTTGGGGGTATAGCCACCAACCTCAACTTTAGGGACATACACATTATTATCAAGACCCATTTTCACGGGGCTCTTCCTGTGGCCTCTCTGCCTCTGCTTCCCCTCTACCCCCTTTCTCCCTCCCACTAGTCACTTCCCTCCTGGGAATGTCAAAGTGCAAGATGCAGAAACCTGGGTGAACAACACAGCCTCAAGACCTGCTCAGGCTGGTGGACTAGGACAGCTCTCCCACAGCTCCACCCTGGGAAGTCAAAGGCTGGGGCAGGAGAAGGTCAGGGCTTAGGGGCTCCCTCAGTCGACAGGTGAGTCCAGCTCATTGCAGGAAGCTGAGGAGAGGATGACATAGGGGGCGGGAGGACATTCGGACGGATGGTCACTCATGGGAATGGACAGGTCAGGTTGTTCAGCAGGCAGGTTCAGTATTCACAGTGCAATGGCTTCCTTCATGAGGGGCACCTCTGCAGGGCCTCTCAGAGGAACTCTGGCAGGGGCTGGTGGGAAGGAGGAGCCTAGGCCAGAGCTTCGTCCTCCTCTTGGCATCATGAACCAGGTCAGGCAGGTCCTGAGGGCAGGGCTGGCCTCCTCTTGCTGTCTGGCTAGCAGAGGACAGTTAGGCAAGTTGAGGGTGTAGACAGACCCCTTTAAGCTGTCAGCACAAACAGCCAAAAGCCTCCACTTGTCTTTTGCGCTGTTCACCTTTATGCCTTTCCTGGAAATCAGGCCTGTGCAGTCCCGCCCTGCAAATCTTAGGCCCTCCTCTACAGAAACAGGTCCCTGCCTGTCTGTGTTGGGATTCCTTGGCACCAGACAGGTCTTCTGGGCATAGGGCTCTTCTGCTCCTTATTGTTCACCCTGGTCTCCAAGTGGCCATACAGGCCTGTGGGGCCCTTGCCAGGTTCTGGCTTGGATCGAAGAGGTGGGTGCAGCCCCTGAGGGAGAGGGTCCTGAGCTGGCTGGCCAGCCTTCTTCGATTATAGGGAGCCTCCAGGGCCCACAATAAATAGTGGCGGTGTGGGGGGCATCCTCCAGCCCTCTCTCAGTTAGTTGAGGGTCTAAGGATCAAGGTGGATTGACCCCAGCAGGCCTGCTCTGATCCAGTCCTGGTAGGCGGGAGTTCTGGTAGTGGCAGGCCACATTCCCAGAAGGATGGCTGGGGATGGTGGTGGTGGACACGCCCATTAACGTCTCTTTCTATGGAGAGATAGTCCTGTGTGCCCAGCTGTAGAGAAGAGAAAGGAAGAAGGCTGGTCAGCAAGTGAGAGTATGGGGAGGGTCACCAAGGACATGGCTTGGGGAGGCAAGGCATTCCTGTGGGCTGCTGGACGGCTTCAGGCAGGACTTCATCCTGTCCCTTCCCTGGCCCTCCCAGACACCACAGAGACACTAGGCAGCTTTGCCTGGCAACAGTCCAAGCCTCTGGCCAGACTGGCCTTACCTCCTACCTTTCCTCCTGGGGAACCAGGAACCACAGAGGGAGGGAATGGGACTGGAAGAAGTCTGGGCTAGGAGGCAGAGAGGTTATTACTCAAGCAGATGGGTCTGTCAGGAAGCCAGGGAACAGCCTCTTGAGTGTCCCTGCTAGGACCCTTCCTCAGGCAAGGTCATCTTAATGGTCTTGGACCAATGAACTAAGGATGATTCCTGAAAACTCTAGCAAAGAATTTTTCTCTTCCATCACTATTTCTTAGAGAGGGTCCTCACAGATGAAGCTCTGGCAAAGGCAACTGAATAAGAAGAACTTGGGCTTGAGGGGCAGAGGCTAGAAGCAGTACCGGGAAAAGGGAACTCCCACCCTGTCATCAGGCCTGCTCACCCCTGAGTAGTCAGGCCTCCTCCCAGAAGGGATGAAGAATTTGCCTCTAATGGTCCAAGGGAGCCAAGACCTTGCTCCCCCCACCCCACCCCCATCCTTGTTCCCTTGCCTCAGCATCCTCAGAACGTTTTGTTCCACAGCAGAAATCCCCTGGACTCCATCCAACAATTTGACTTTGGACCCTGTGTGGTACCTCCCCCCCGAATGACCATAACTCTACTGGTCAAGCCTGTGATGGGTAAGGAGGGAAGATGAATTCTATAGCCTCTGGCTACCAGCCCATTCCCTTGCTTTGGAGGGGAAACAAGGAGAAACTATAAACTGGACACAAGCCACAGGCTTTGCCAGGGAAGAAGGCTCCAGAGGGCATGCTCCAGCCTGCTGCCCCGTCTCCCACTTCCCTGGGGCCGGCTGGAGTTTTCTGTAGCTCAGCACTCCTACCCCAGCCCCTCTTTGTATGCCCTTCACATCTTCTCATCAGAGTACCAGTCAATCTGAACACAGGCACTCAATTCCCATAGGCTCCTGGGGCCTGGCATGGGAACCCCTTAAGGCTAGACCCTCTGAACAAAATCTTAAAATCCCAAGGGGAGGAACTTGAGATCTTGGGCAGGCCTGAGAGTTAGGGGGCGAGGAAGGACAACTGAGGAGAAGGAAAACGGGTAGTCTATGGTAAAGTGGCACAGCACTGAACCCAAAGTCCTGAGGGACCTTTGTTCTCTATCAGTTCTGAGGGGTCCTAGTCCTTCTCAATCCTTACCAATGGTCCATCTGGCCCACTTCACCTGTCTCAGCCCACTCTACTGCCAAGAGGAATCCCAGGATTCCAGATATGGTTACCTCTTGTTTTTTTACAAATAAGTTCCCCTGGTTCTGAGCATCTGCCAGGTATTTCTTCTTTGCAGGAAGGGCCCAGACCTGTCATCTTACACATGGGACAGCTTGCTATGTGTGGCAAGGGGTGTGACTGGAAATTTCACTGGGTCATCTAGCTAGTCTGTCAGTCAGCCAGTCAGCAAATCAACCAGGCTTTCTGCCAGCTAGTTAGCCAGTCAGCTCACTAACCAACAGTTAAGTTAGGGGATTTATCAGCTAGTTGGTTGAGTAATTAATTAGCCAACCAGATGGCCAAAGTTGATTAGTCAGCTGGTGAATTGGTAAGCCAGAAGCTGGTCAGTTAAGAGAAAGATGGCCATGGTCCATTGGTGAGTCAGACCTGAAGCTACCCAGTTAACATTTACTAAATTTTTGACAAGTATGGAGAGGCCCTGTCTATATTAGAACCCAGGATGGAAAAAAAATTGCAGAAAAAGTACAAGGTAGTTCCTGCCCTCAAGGGGCTTACAATCTTAGTAGTGCAGAATGTACATAAACACATAAAATAAGATTTTTAAAAAATATAAAACAACACCAAATATGTGCAAATTGATATAATATTAATTAGATACAAAAGAGCAGAGGGGATGTGAATTAAAAGCAACCAGAATGGAAGGCTTCCTGACTGGCTGGTTGTGGGTGGGACTCAGAGAGGAAGAGTATAGGTCACATCTTCAACAACATGGGCAAAGACAACAGAAGGCACTCAGAAGACACTCATCAATGTGCAGGGGATACAACTGGGAGAGTTATGAATAGACAGAATTCAGAGTTAAAACACTTTCTGTAGACTTGGAGCATGGGCAGAAACCAACAAGTGGGTTTAACAAAAGTGAATATAAATGCCTGTAGTTTGGTTTATCAAGTTAAGTTGTCCATGTTTGGGATGGTGAAGGACTGCTGGACAAAGGCTCACGGGAAATATAACTAGGGGCTTTAATAGACCACAAGCTCTACATATGACAACAGTATGATGCAGTTGTTAAAACTAATGTGATCTTAATCTGCACGAGTAGAAGAGTACTGTCCAGATCAAGGAAGGCAACAGTCCCACTGTACTCTGAGCTGGTCAGACAACATCTGGAGTACTGTGTCCAGGGCGGGGCGCCACATTTTCAGAGGGACATTGACAAACGAGTGTGTCCAGGATGGTGAGGGGTCTGAAAACCATATCATATAAGGAATGTTTGAGGGACTTGGCCATGCTTAGCATAGAGAATTCTTAAAGGGGTCATGGATGGCTGACTTTAAATATCTGAGGGCCTCATGAAAATATAAAGGAGGATCAGTTGGGGGGAGGGGAGAAAGGAAGGCAGCTTTGCCCCACATAAGGAGGCCCTTTCTCCCAGTGTTATGTGAAGATGGAACAAACTGTGGCAGTCAGGGAGCTTGCCTGGAACTGGGAATGTGTGACAGGAAGGTAGTTGCCTCCCTGTTGGGGATGCAGAGTGGCCCCTTTGAGGGTGAGACACTGGACCAAATGACCTCTGACAGCCTTCCCCAGACTAAGTTTCTATGATACCATCATTCTAAACTTGGGAGGTAGCAATGACCTTGACTGGCAAACAGGACAGACCAGATGGAGCCAAGTCTGGCAAGAGGTGGATGGTGAGGCAGGCTGCTGTAGGGCTCAGAAAGCAAGCTGGGATTGCTTATGTTTGAAGTGACTGGTGGCAGCAGCACAGAGCTAATGAAAATTCCCCAGTTGGTAAAGATCTTTGCAAAAGCCTTATTAGAGTTGGAAGAATTTGGTGGCTTTGGGATCAAAGGTGATGGAAGGACCAGAAATCCAATGCAAAGGTAGCAGTATCAGGCCTTAGATGGGGGAGGGGATGCAAGAGCAAGGGGAGACCTGAGACCTGGAAGAGAGGAGCTTGGCTAGATCTGATGATGAATAAATGAAAATGGAAGCAGTGGGACAGAGGAGAGGGAATCAAATGTGTGGCCCTCCTTGGAGTTGGTAGCATTGGCTAGAGGGGAAGGGAACTGGAGATCGTTCTTTTTATGGGGCAGAGGGGTATCAAAATCAGAACCTTACCTTGGAGTCCTCTCTATACAGGCAGTTCCATTTGTCTGTCCTCATCCTGGGTCAGGAGGCTGCAGGCAGAACACAGGTTGACATAAGACTTCAGCAGGAGCATGGGACTGAGGTAACCTCCTAGCTTATCCCTAAGCCTGCACATGAGTTCTATCTCTGTGAGATTTAGAATATTCAGAACTTCCCAACTCTAGGAAGAAATCAGGACAAAACCCCTGCTATTAAAGAGAGAAGTCCCTCTTCCTCCGTATTCCACCCTGCTCTGCAGCAATTTCCTTAGGGCAAGTGGGAGAAGCCCCTCCAATCTGGGACCTAAGAAACAGGACCCAAGCCAGACATCCAGTGCCTCCCAGAGCCGCACTCCAACTGCTCACCTGCCCTCTGGCTGCCCCACAGAAGAATCCGATGTCTGAGGCTCTCGATGGCTCTGTAGACAGGAAAGAGTGCTCTCACTGAGGTGCTGGGCTGCCCCAGATATTAATGAGAGAGTTGCAAGAATCCTTCAAGCTACCCCAAAGTGGGGACCATGCAGCCAGATGGGTCTCTTTGACAAGGCCAGGTGCTCCTCTTTTCCCTCCCAAGCAGACCACTGCCTATAGGCCTCAACCACAGGCCTTCAGGGCTCTCAGAACAGCATTTCCTCCTCTTTGTTTCCTATCCCAGCTGGTTGTCATTCTGCTGTCAGTCCAAGAATTTTGTTTTCCATTCCCTTCTGCTCTGGTCTCTTTTCAGTGATCTTGGAGTCTAGAGAGACCCGATTCTTCCCCATTGCCACCTTCTACCCTTGGGGCTCTTATTCCCTCCTCCCAGCAGCTACAGAACCTTGTTGGAACCTGGCTGTCTTCCAATCTGCAACCCCACCCACCTTTGTCCCTGCCCCAAAGGGCACCCTCCTCTCCTGAGGTTCTCCTTACCCTCCACTTCCACCTGTAGAACAGGAGACCCCCGACCGCTAGCAAGACCAGGATGATGCTGGGCACCAGCAGATGGAAGACAAATCCAGGGAGCTGGGGGTCGATGGATCCCATGGGATTCGCCTGATGGCCTGTGTCAGTCAAAGGAATGGAGTTAAAATGGGCCAGAGGCCTGGCTGCCCCCTCACTTGCTGGTCCTTCTTCCAGCTCTGCCAGGCTTCTCCGATCCCTGAAGCTCCTCTTGCCCTCCAGTTCCCTGAGGGGCAGGACAATGCCCCATGAGTGGCTTCTGGGGAACAGTGGCTGAGCAGAGAGGGTGGCCAGGTTGCTGAGGCCTTGGGGACTCTGTGCTGCAGTGTGAGGAAAGCCTGGCTCCTGGTGCTCTCTAAGCAGAGTAGATGAACTGTCTTTCTTCTCAGGAGTGTGATTCTGGGTCTGGCCAGTGAGTTTCATGGGGTCCGCCTCTGCGAAGGGGGTGCCTGGCACATCCGTTGGCTGTTTGTCCTCTGCTGATGCAGGGAGTGGAGAAGATGCTGATAGGTCACTGGATCTGGTTGTCTCTGCCTGGATACTGCCCCCTACTGGCTTGGAGGGGGAAGGCTTTACCTCCTGTGGCAAAAGACCCTCACTGGCCTCTCCAGAGGCCTCTTCTAGGGCCCAGTTAGTGCCTACTACAGATTCGAGAATGTCCTCCACCCCAGGGATGGGGCCCCCCACAGAAGGGTAAGGCTGTGGTGAACCCTCAGTGAGGCTGTCCTTGTGACTTGGGGTCTCCTGTGACTCGAGGCTCTGGCAGGTGCTCCTGGGTGGTCGCTGCTTGGTATTGCCTGGGTCCTCTGTGCGAAGAGGCTGCTCACTGGACAAGAGGGAGTTGCCCTCTATCCCCTGAGAATCATCCCAAGCCAAGCCAGCCATAGGGGCCATGGAGGGGGCGAGGGGCTGCTGAGGGGAGGCAGAGGCCAGGTCACTGCTAGGCATGGCTTTGGGGTACAGGCAGTTGCAATCAGGCTTGGTCACCACACCTGAAAGAACCACAGAGAGAAGGAGAGAGAAAGATGGGAGGCGATAGAGTCACCAGCCTCTAGCACAGTTCCGTCAGAGGGGCTAAAGGGTGTGGATAAGGATCTGGGGTAGGGGTCCTTGCTCTCCTAACTCAGCCCTGGAGCTGAGGATAGGACAAGACTGGAGTAGATGCTCATGACACAGGACTCAGGCAGGAGGTCAGCAATGTGCAGGGTACCATGGACAAAGAACCAAGAGCAAGGTACAGATATATAGACCAGGGATGGGGTGAGGAAGACCACAGGACAGCTCAAGAGGCCAAGTCAGAGGTAAGCAGCAGCCAGGCCAGGAGACTGAGCAGTACACTCCTGGATTAACACAAGACACTTGAGAGAACCCAAAAACTGGTTTCATGTGCAGCCAGAAGGCCAAACCACCACAGCCATAGCCTCTGGCAGGAGCAGGGTGGGGCTGGGAAGTGGCCAAAGCTTGGGGCCTTGGGATTGAAGCAATAGGGGCTCGACTTGGCTATTGTCAGATTGCAGGGCCTCAGTTCCTGCCTTGGGGAATGAGGCTGAATGCAGGACATGTGTGGCACAGGATGCAGAGATGAGGACACGCAGGGTGCACAGGTATGTAGATGAGCCAACAGAGAGTTTGACTGATGTCCAGACTTCAATTTCAGCCTTGTCCCTTGAGGGGACACCCAAGGCATCCTGGGGACTTCTGGAGCCAGGGTATCCTGGTGTTTCACAGCAGGGCTCCTGGAGCAAGGGCCCTGACTCCCAGGTGGAGCATCTGCTCTTTCCATAGAACCCCCTTTCATTCAGCCAGTCTGCAGAGCCGAGGGGGGAAAGCCACCATGCATGGCTTTCTGAGAAAGGTCCCCTTTCCCACTCCCTAGCATCACAGCCACCAGCATGGGCCTTCTTGATGCCACCACATCAAGTGAGGCAGTGAGATAGTACATGCAGGCATATGTCGGTGTACATGCACACACATGTCAGGAAAGACATGTGCCCAGGACCCTGAGGCACAGGAAGCCACATATGTACACAGAGCAAGTACATATACACACAGAGAAACACATGTAGCAGCCAGGCTCTTCCAGGATCCCTCCAGTCCTTTATCTCATCCTGCACACACCCTCCCCCTCCCTGGCCCCTTGCCGTCTTACCTTGGCTAGAGCACTTAGCAAAGCTATTGTTGCAGTTCTTGCTGAAAATATTCCAGTCCTTTTCAAGGAGATTCTTTGTTTCATTAAAGATATTCTTGATCTTCTCCAGCATCTGGAGAGGAGTCTCACGAAAAGTTCGGACACAGGCCTGGAAGGAAAGCAGGGCCCCCTCTGGTGAGTATGAACACTGAACACTGGCCTCCTGTCACTGGCTCCTCTGTCAAATTCCCTTGGGTTTTCTCATCAGTCTTCTTTTCCCCTTTTGTTTCCTCCCTGCCCTCTCCTCTGCTTTGCGGCAGTATCAGTCCTGAGGTTGAGAGATATGTAGGTTACTTATTCATGAATTCATCCAATATGTACTTAAATGCTAGGCATATGGTAATTTACCTGGGCATTGGGCAATAAACAAGAGAGAAGTGGCTCCTGACCACTCTGGACACGGAGTCCTACAGAGACTAGCATTAAATACATTGTTACAAGTGCAAGGAGTCCTATAAGAATGTTCTGAGCCATCTGAAGGTATATAACAAAAGGGAGCCAAATGAAGGTCCAGATAGAACATCCTCCAAAGAACCAGACTAAAAGATAAGCAAGGATTAACTAGGGAAGAAGGTGGGCTTAGAACAGAAGACGCAAGGTTCCTGAGTTAGGAAAACATGAAATGCCAAAGGATTGACAGATGGCTGGGGCCGTTGTGGTCCTGCCATCTAGGAAGAAAGAGGCAAGAAAAGCAGCTGGAGAGAGCTCTGCCAAGGCCAAGGTTGCTGACCATGGCAGGAACTTTATATTTTATCCATAGAACAAAAGGGAAACTGAAAGATTCTTCAGGAGGTGGGATGCAGTATGAGACCTGAATTTTACAAAAAATCCTCTTGCTGTGGTGTAGAGAATGCAGTGTGGGAGGCCAGAGGAGATGAGGGTCCCCTGCCGGTGATGATGTGTTTTGGAGGAGTGCTGTGGCTACCCCAGGCCTGCCTGTTGAGCTGTTCTTCTCTTCTGCCCATGCATACAGGTTTTCATACCCACACCCACCGCAGCTCTGAAAAACTCTGCCCTCCTGGATTTTCCCCACCTTACCAGTTGCTCCTTTAGGATTTGTACCAGACCCAAGCTGTGCCGTGTGTGACTACAGCATAATCTATGATCTACTTCCAGAATGCCAAGTTTTTCTTAAACTCTTTGAGCTTCAGGGAAGAACAGTGGGCTTTCTAAGGCTACTATAAAGTCTTTGATGACATCATTATATAAATCTCCCTAGCCTGTCCATAGCAGACAAATGAATGAACTAGAAAACCTGGGCTCTGCTCCATCACTCAACTAGTTAGGTGGGAATAGCCAAATGAGCTACTTCATTCGGATTCATCTTCTTGTCTATGAAGTCAGAACAAGAGCTGCCCAATCTCTCCCAAGAACTGTTAAAGCAGGGTAGCTGGCTCTCTCTTGTCGCTCTCTTTATGAAGCTGTCTCCCTTACACCTGACCTTATACTCTGTAAAAGAAACCAGGCATCCTCGGTTGGAACCCTGACACCAACACTGTCTCACAAAGGTGGTCCCTGCTAGGTCAGGAGCTTGAGTCCCTTTCTGACATCCCAGTAGTGCTTAGCTGGGGCTGGTTCCTTGTATCACTCCCTCCTGAACCACCCCTCAGCATGCACTGAATGAACACGCACCTACCAAAGGAGTCTAAGGACCTTCTGTCTTAACCATGGGTAGGGCAGCTTTTCAAAGTGCAGATTCCCAGGCTCATCTATGAGCCAAGGGAAACAGAGTCTCTGAGGGTGTATGCTAGGACTGTGCATTTTAAATAAGCTCCTCAAGTGATTCCCTGGCACTCTAATGGAAAAGCACAGATTTAATACTTCTCAGTGACACCGTTCCTCCTTCAACCATACACCCTCTCCAGCTACATCTGGTTTTCTGTCCCCTTTGGAGACAAGTTCCTTCACAGTGTGGTCTCTACTTCCTCTCTTTCTGTTCTCCTGATCTGCCTCCAATAGCAACCTCCGCGTTGCCAAATCCAACGGACCAACAGACACTTTTCAGTCCTTATCTTGTTTAACTTCTCAAACCCATTTGATAAAGCTTGTGGTTCATTCCATCCTGAGGTGCCACCTTCACTCAGCTTTCCTCCTACCTCTCAGACCACTCCTAACCAGGAAGAACAAAGGCTGGGGTCCTGGGCCAGTTTTTTCCTCTTACAGTACATGGCACTGTACAGTTTTTGGTTTTACAGACAGTGTCTGTGTATACTTCAGACATACTCTAGATCCTCACCTGAAGCTGCCTGCAAGTTGTCTCTGGGCTGATATGCCCCAAACTGAGCTCAGCTCTTCCCCAAAACCTGCTCTGACCATTGTTATTCTTATTTTGGCATCACTGAAATCTCTAAGGGCTCAAGATAAAACCATTCCAACTCACCCCTTCCCTTGGCTTTGGTGCTTTCCATCCTCAGCAAGCACCAGGTCCTGTCTTCTCACATCCACTGGATCATATCTTCTCACCTCCACCTTTCCTGCAACTCTCTGATTGAAGCCACCACCATCTCTGACCTGGACTTGGGCCTCCTGCTGGTCCCTGCCCTTTATTCCTGCTCTCTATAGCCCACTCTATTCCACAACCAGAACAGTCTTACAATATCAGTGACATTGGGTCAGTCAGCAGTTCATGGCGGCTTCCCCTACATTTAGGACAAAAGCCCACATCTTTGATATTCTAAATGGTGTGCCTCCAGTCTTTTCTCTTTCTTCCCCATCTATACCCAGTACCTGGCCATGGTGACCCCTTTTGCATCCCTGAATTGTCAAGCTTTCTGGTCACATTAGGGCATGTGAATAGCATTCCTTATTTTGCACTGCTCTTCTTTCCAGCCATGGCTCTTACTGCCCTTGCTCATGTTGGACCTCCAGTTGTAGTTCTTACTTAGGACTTGACCCCCATTTAAGTAAGCCCGGGGTTCTTGCTCTTCTTACTCTTCTACCTCAGGTCTCCCCTCCCCCAGTTTGCTCTTCTCTAATGCCATGATCACCATTATCCATCTACATACTTTACTGATCTATTTATCTGTCTCAGCAACTCTCCCCTCCTCCATGTAATCTTCATGATTGTGGGGATTTTTTTGCCCATTTTGAGAACAGCTGTTTCCTGGTGTCTAGAACAGCACTTGAAATACAATAGAAACTCAATAACTATTTGCTAAATGGACAAACAGTCTTTCTGGTCTATAATTATATTCACTCATGTCATCATTTACAGCTGACCACATGACTTGACTATAAGCTTTGAGAAGGTGAGGACCCTCTTGCTCCAAGATTATCATCAAGGTCCAGCACTGTGCCTTCTGTCTAATGAGTGTTTGGTGCAGTTGGAGGTGGAGTAAAGAAATGAATGGGAAAGTGCGTGACTGACTGAGGTTTAGGCAGGGTGAACATGTGAGGGCAGGACTGGGCCTCCAAAGTCACTCTCTGCCCCTTCCCATTGCTCTAGCCCCGGAAACCTCCTACCTTGTCCTGCTCATCATAATCCTTGGTGAAGCAGCTCTTCAGCCTCAGAGAGAGTTCCTGGAGCCGCTCAGTTGCATTGGCATTGGGGGTATTGTCTTTAAAGCGCATGGTGTCTTCCATTATATCTTGTACCAGGAAAAATGCCTTCTTAAGGTAGCAAACAGGATCATCCTGAAACATAGGAACTGGGAGCTCAGGACTTGGCCCAGGTGGCCTATGAACTCTCTTCCTTTTAGCTTTCTTTCACAAAAGTCCTTTGCCATATGGTCTTTTCAAATCCTCCAGGATATAGAGGTACTGAAGACTACCTCATTGTTTAAAGAGTAGTGTAGGGTTTTGTTTCCCTAAAGACATAATAATAGTTGACTCAAAGACAGAAACTACTTTATCTCTGTATCTTTAGTGTCTGGTCCAGCAAATGTGTCACAGTATGAGTGAAGGAGAGTGAATGGATGAAGCACTATGGCTATACTTTAGACCATGAGGTTGTCACAGAGGTGCATGGGTCTGGCGTCTGTGAGCTCAGAGATGGATGGCCTGATTGTTCTTCATGAGGCACAAAGATGGACAAGTGTGGCAACAGTGAATGGATGAAGCACTATGGCTATACTTTAGACCATGAGGTTGTCACAGAGGTGCATGGGTCTGGCGTCTGTGAGCTCAGAGATGGATGGCATGATTGTTCTTCATGAGGCACAAAGATGGACAAGTGTGGCAACAGGGGTGGGTGGGGCACATGGAAAGTCGTGATAGACATCAGAAAGAGCTGGTGCAAAGGCTAGGAAGCAGAAAGGAGCAGAGAATGGAAATGAGAATGGGGCTGTGTCCTAGAGATACAGAGCTGGACCACTTGGGCTTTCTCCTAGAACTACGGGGTTCCTAACAGGCTTAGAGAAAGAAGCAAAGGCAGCCAGTTGGAGTTTCAGAGAGTTCCCCCTAGTGGTAGGATGAAGGGTGCCCTAGAATCAGGGAAGCCAATTAGAAAGTCCGGAAATTGTCCAAGGGACTGACTGGGGAAGATAGATGGGCAGGACCCTGAGATGCAGGGAGGCAGCACCAGCAGCATCTGGATAAAGGCTAGGAAGTTGGGTTAGACTGCCTCCTTGGCTTCTGGCTAGTCTGTGGAAGTGACATGATCTTCTAATGTACATGGTCTAACATGCCTGGGTTCACTTACTACTATGCCCCTTAACCTCTGTGTGGATAATAAGCAATATTTGTAGACTTCAGAGTGACTCTGTTAGAACTAACTTGGAAAAGTGTCTGGCATTCAGTTAAGTACCTGATCTGTGCCAGGTCAGAGGACAGAACACCAAAGAACTTAAGCTCTGGACCCTGAACCAATTCTTGAACATTCAGGGACCCTCACATTCTCATCTTGTCCAGCTCTAGGTTTTACACTGCCTTCATGCTCCTCTATGACCCCTCACCCCATGGGGTGGGCATACAGTCAGGCACATGGTCCTTCCAAATAGTTGCCACTTACCAGCTGTTCCTTGTCTACGAATTCAAAGACAATCTGGCATGAGGTCTGCATTTGGCTGTCGATCTGTAAGAGAGAGAAGACCAGTGGTTATAGGGTTCCTACATGTTGACTGAATTGGTTTCTGAGTGGGGGCTCTGGTTTCTGGGTGGATTGAGGTTTCAATTTTATCCACCTCCCCCAAAACATGCCTGGATGACAGAACCACAGCCAAGGGAAGAGCTGTATTTTCCAAGTGCCCAGAGAAGGACTGCAAAAGAACCAAAAATCTCTTCTCTCTACTTCAGCCTATGAAATCACACATTCAGTCTGTTACAAGGAAGAACTATCTTTAGGAGAATATAAGATAGATGATAGATAGATAGATAGATAGATAGATAGATAGATAGATAGATAGATAGATAGATGATAGACAGATATAGATATCCCTGAAATTTAGTAGATCTTGATAGGAATTCAAGCCAAGGCTGGCCAAACTCTGGAAAGCCTGGATCTATAGCATCCATCACCCGCTGGAGCAAGGTTCTAAACTCAGATAACATTGGAGGGTTTTGCCTACCACCATAGCTGTGTATAAAAGGAGTGGTGTAGAGAATGGAAGTTGTGAGGTTCAACTCCAGGCCTGAAGTTCAGGGCCCTGGAGCTGGCTTTACCCACTGGTGTTTCACCCTGCCAGGCTGGTCAGAAGGATGATAAATTCCTTATGATTGGGACAGGAGCCATGACAAAAGCATCCTGCCTGGCTGGATGATGTTTGGAACTGTTGATGTTTCTGTTGACCTGATTAGAATGAGATTGGAATTCCTTCATGGCTCAGAAGTACCCCAACCTCAGGGGCAAGGGTCATTTTCTCTAAGAGGGCCAAGGGGCACTTTTCCTAAGTAAAGGCAGAGGGCTAGGAGTTAGGCTGAAGCCTCTGTTCTAAATCTGTGTGGGGCCCTGGTGCCAGGCTGGCAAGAGATCTGGGAATCCAGGAGCTGGATATACCATCTGGACCTAGCAGGTAGACTATGCTGACTTCCTAGAGGAGATAGTCCCTGGGCTAGAGCAAGGCCAAAGAGCCTTTTAGAATACACAGTAGACATTCCTGGATCACCATTAACCCAGGTAACTAGCTGGAAAATTTGCCTGAGTTACTACTGCCTACCAGGGAATGGGAGAAGGCTTCAGAGTTGGGGCCCCAACTTTGAAAAGGTCAGTGAGAAGAGTACTAGGTGAACCATGGTCCAGACAGCTCTTTTTTCCTGAAACCCCTCTCTCTGACTCTGCTCTTAGCCACTGCCTCAGTTTCCCTGGTAGAGAGAAGACATGGTCTCATACTCACCAGCTGCTGCAGGAATTGCAAGTGTCCATTCCCAATCATGTGACTACAGTGCTCTGACACCTCCTTGGCAATACTTCTGCTCACCAGGAGACAGACCAGCAGTAGCTGGGGGCCCAGCCATGACTGTGATAGAAAAGGAGTCATTGCTTTCCAGTGTTTGCTTTCCCATTTCCCCCATGGCCCACTAAGGATGGAAAAATAAGGTCTTATTCTTGTGAGGCAGGCTCTCTCTCACACCCCAGGATACAGCATTCCCAAAATGAGATTTTCTGTCAGCAAGTGTGTACCACTTTGCTCTTTCTTTGGTAATAACCCAAATGCTATCTTCTCTAAGAGGTCTTCCCACATTGACCCAGGCCAGCCCAACAACACAGCAAACTTCTAATGACAATACCAGTGGTGTGCCTACCAGTCTAAATTCTAGCAACCTAGTAAGCTACCCTCAAGTTCAGGTACTAGCTTCCAGACTGCAAGTCTGAGACATTGCCCTTGGGTTCTGCTTTCCCTCTCACCTGATTCCCCATAGATCTGGCTCTACCAATGGAAAAGCCAGGACCAAACTCAGTTCCACTGGGAATTTATCCCATGTGGAAGACGAAGGGGTCTACTACAAGTCTTGCATTTCAAGAGGAGTTCAACCGATTCATCAGAGACAATAGTGTCAGCTGTGAGGCCATTTCTTTGGGTAAATCCTTTTCCAAGACCCACCAGGCTCTGCCTCTAGTCAGCAGGCTCTTGCCACAGTAGGGAAGTTTTCTCTTTTTTTCAGCATCCACTTAGCTCAGTAGCTGCTTATCCTGAGAGTGACAGGACCAACTCTTGGCATTTGACTTGGTCCTTCCTTTTTCTTACCTTCCTCCTTCTCCTGCCCTCCTTTTCCCCCAAATCCCCTCATACCTATGAACTCTAACAGGGCATCACAAGAGATGCCAATTCGAGGCAGAGGGTTCTTAGGCTTTCTTTCCCTAGCCTGAGGCTGCCTCCCAGGAGCTCCTGAACATCTTGGCAGCTGATGCCCCCCAATTAAAGGAAATGCTAGCAGGGTGGGGTGAGGACTGACACCTTCCTTGCTCTGGGCTTTGCCCCAGTCATCCAGATGAGACAAATGCTACAAATAGTAGCACATTGAAAAAATACAGAGAGGCTATAAAACAGCCCACAACAACACTCTGATTTACACCCCAAACCCAAAGCCTTGCCAGTTCTTACTAGGAAGGAAAGGCAGCTCTGGGTAGGCAATGGGGCTGCAGGAAAGAGGGACAGTGATGAGGCCTTAAAAGATGGCAGAGGTTGATGGGGGTGGAGGAAGAAGCACAGGGTGGCCCTTAATTCCATTAAGCACAGGGCCTGTAAGGGTTCTGGCATGACCTCAGAGGGAGAGTGTGGAAGAGACAGACATCCATGGGATGAAAATACTTTGGACACTGTTGGACAGTTTCCTCTGCTATGGGCTAGGAGTCACTGAGGCTGTCAGTCCCTGGTGTGAATGGTTTAGAAGAAATGACCTCAGGCATGGAGATGTACAGGAGGACCTCAGTACTTTCCCTTCAAGACACTGATATTTGAGGACAATAAGGGGAAGACATTGCTTTATCCTCAGGGCTACCTGGCTTTGGATAGTATTTCAGGCATATATGGGGACAGTGTGCAGCCACTAGATGGGAAGCTGACTTTGAGTGTGACCAAAAGGGGCTATCTCTGGATCTGGAACCCCAGTGTTGACACAGAGGATCCACATGGGTGTCAAGGGTTAATGCTCTTGCTCACTTCTGGCTGGGCAGGCTCTTCCTGGTTTCCTTCTTCCTCCCACCCACTGCTTCAGCCTCTGTGGGAGCAGCCCTGGAAGGAAACTACTGCAGGCTCAGAGAGATGCAGAACATCACAGAACAGTAATCCATCCAGCTGCCACCATCCTGTTCCATTTCCCCACCAGCTAGGTCTCTCCTGGTATGACTGGACCTTTCAACTGCTTCTTTGCTCCTGCTTTCCCTTCCAGACCCTTCTTTTTGCCTGTTGCCTAATGGCATAATCCTTCCCTTACCTCCACCAACCCCATCTCCTTCCTTCAGCTGGGTGCTCCCTCCCTGTGGATCTACTCCTCTCTCCATCTCAAACACGTGCAACCCTCTTCTCAACCCTATTCATCAAGTATTTTTCTGTGCCTGCCCCCTAAGCTTCTTCTCTAATACCTCTCAGAAGCAAGCCCTTTAGGTGACTATTGCTGTTCATTGAAAGTGCCACCCTGAGCTTTCTAGGAGCCACAGCATCATCTCCTGCCACTATTAGGGACACTTGTGAGCAGCCTCTTGTCTGCACCCTTGCAGCCCCAAACCCTCCTTCCATTTTCCTCAACCAAGTGGTAGAGCCCAGAGAGCTCCAACTCATTGAGCCAGATTCTGCAAGAAAAAGAGATTCAGGACTAGTGTCAGGCAGCTCTGCTACCCCCGCCCCCCAAGTCACCTAAGTCCCCGACAGCTCCTGCCTGTGGGCTGGAGCAAGTAACAGCATGCCCATCTCTTTTCCTCTGCCAGCAGGTTGCTCAGCACAGGCTCTGGCATTCTAAAACTGGATAACCCCTGAACTTTCCTCACCCAGAAGCACCCACTCTCTAGCAGGGCCTGGAAACCACGTGCGTGGCCAGAGGAAGATGCACGCTTGGGATGATGCCACACTCGGGTCTCGATCCCTCTGTGCCTGGAGACAGGCAGAGCATCCTGGCTGACGCTGGGCCTGTGCCCGCAAGCTGCATACCTCTCTCGCTAGCCTGTGGGTGGCTCAGTGTACCCCTCCATGCAATGGGGCAAGCAGCCTTTCCTTTCTCCAAAAAAGCATTGTAGCCCCAGGAACAGCTGCAGAACTGCCACCAGCCTAAGCCCTGGTGTAGAGGCGGTTAGGAAGCTGGAGCCCCAGGCTGGCGGGGATTGCCTGAGCTGCAGGCGTGCCGGGGCTGTCTGCTCGAAAGGGCCGCGCCGAGCCGCCTGCAAATCGAGCCCGCACCCCAGCCGGCCCCAGCCCCGCGCCCCGATCGCAGCTTACCGAGGAAGGGCAGCGCCCCACGGCGCCCCGCGAGGTCATACGGGCAGCTGGGTCCTGGCCCGGCGTGTCGGCCACTCTGGTTCGTCTGCTAGCTCGCTCGCTTGCTCGCCGGTCGCTACGGAGCCTGCGCCCCGGCCCCGGCTGCGCCGCTGTCCCGGGATGCAGAGAGCAGCGGCGGCGCCGAGGAGACCCAGGCAAACTTTCACTTTCCCCCAGCCGAGCTTCACTGGCCAGCCCTCGGCACAGCCTTTTAAGCGGGCGGGCTTGTGGGGCATGTGGTTTATGGGAAATCACTGGCCAGCCGCCAGACACACACACACGCGCGCGCGCGCGCGCACACACACACACACACACACACAGGGCTAGGGATGTAGTTCAGTTGTTAAGCGTGCTCCCCTGGCATGCAGGAAGCCCTGGGTTTGATCCCAACTCAGCACCACATAGAACTAGGTGTGATGGCACATGCCTGTAATCCCAGCACTTAGAAGGAGAAGATCAGAAGTTCCAGGTCATCCTTAACTACATAGTGAGCTCTCTCTCTCTCTCTCTCTCCTCTCTCTCTTCTCCACACACTTGGAGGCCCACTGAGCCTCCGCCTCCCTTCCCCCCAGCAGGCCGGCTGGTCGTCCCCGCTTGCTCCTCTTCCCAGTCGCGCTGTGCTCGCTCTGTAGCCTTCAGAAAAGTAACCCGGACTCCACCGCCCTTCCCTCCCCTCCCTTCCCCGCGCCCTCGCTCGACAGGACACAGCCTTTCCTTCAGTGCTTTCCGGGCTGTCAATCCCGTGTGATTACCCTCTTGCTAATGCTGGTCCCCAGGGATTTTCCCTCTAGGCCCGAAACCCTCAAATCGGAGCAGGAAATAGATAGGGAGCATCAAGAAGAACTGGAATGGGGGTGGGCAAACCCGTGGAAGACAGGAGGCCACCCTGCTGCAGTTGGATGTAACCCCTCTTGGAGCTCCAGGCAGCAGGTTTGCAGGCAGGCCTATCCCTTTCCTATGAAGGAAGCCCAAGAAACCTGCCAAACTTCTTGTCCCCGACTTCTGTGGGGAAGTGGGGAGCGGGATACATACAGGCCAACAGCCCTGCTACCTGGTCAGCACTTCAGTCATTTCCCTTGCAGATGTTGCAAAGACTGGCTGGTACCCTGCTCCTGGGCTGCCAAACCCAGCCCGCTGTTTTCACCTGGGCCCTAGATTACCCTTGATGTTTTTGCGGATCCATTTACCCAGACAGTTAATCACATTTTATCTCTACATGAGAACAAATCTGGGTGAACCTATTATAATGCTAACATTAGGATCTTTTTCTTCCATTTATTATGATTCAATGTGTTTAATCCCTCTGTGCCCACTTCTATCTCCTGATGAATGGCCTGGTCTCAAAGAGGCATCTTTTGCCACTTGTCCTACATATTCCTTGCTCTAGCCAAGGGCAGTATTATTACTCTCATATGCATTTGCTCAGGCTGGCTCCTCTGTTTTGAAGGCTTCTTTCCCTATTGACCTTAAGGTGAACTCATCCTTTAAGGTTAAAATCACATCTCATCCTCCTTCAGCAAAATCTGCTGGGACTCCCCAGGCAGATGAATAGTTCCTTTTTCTATGTTCCCACCAGACTTGGTCCATTCCTACCATATAAGTTGCTTGTCATTCATTCATTCTTGACATTATCTTAAGCAGTTTTTCAGGTAATACTGGTGGTTACACTCACCCTGCACCCTGGGAATGAGAGTCCTTCTAGGTGGTACTCCATTTCACTTACCTCTGAATCCACAGCAATAGAACATAATAGGAACTCAGTTAACTGTGGGTGGATGGAGTGAGGGAAAAAGTCATTCATCTGACAGATATGCACTAAGTGCTTACTACAGGCCAGGCATTGTGCTGGACCCTGAGGATATGACCAATGGACACGATGGACCATACTTTCATGGGTGTGTCAGCCATGGGAAGCTTGAGAATTGGGGTAGTGACTGGTGCTCAGAGCCTCTAGGAAGAAAGGCAGAAACAGAGCTCAGACATTGGAAGGAGGGTCCAGGCTTACCTCCTTGAGGGAATGTTCTTTCAAGTGGTCCTAAGCAATAATGACTTAAGATGGCATGTTGACTCTATACTTCTTAAGACTGATAAGAAGCTAGAGGAAGTCATGTGAGCAAGATAAGCCTACAGAGTTGTTGAGAAGAGAGACAATTTTTACTTATTCCCTCCTTCACCAACCTGACTGTGTCCCAGGCTCACTGAGGATCCAGAGTTAGAGCCAAGCTGAGTCTGGAAAAATGCAGTCATCCTCTGCATCAGCACAAGAACACGGTCAGCCATCCTCCACACCAGGGCTAGGCATGGGATCTTCATTCTCTCTCTACTGAAACCCTTCACATATTAGGGTTTGAACCTGACCCCACCACTTACAAGTGATTTGTCCTTGACAGCTCTGCCCAGTCATTAACTGTGTTACTATAGATACACCCGCCTTAGCCTCAGCGTCTATAAAGTAGAGCCATTGATTTCTCTTTTTCATGAAGATGTTAGATGACTGAAAGAGATGATGCCTGTGAAGTGTTTAGCACAAGGCCATTATTCTATTTTATGTTACATCTGTTATACATATTGGTGTATGCATGCCACAGCATAAATCTGGAGTCAGAGGAGAACCTGTGGGGCTTGGTTCTTTCTTTCTACCATGTAAGTTCTGGGATTAAACAGAAGTTGCCAGACTTAATGGCAGGTGCCTTTAACTACAGAGCCATCTCATCATCCTCCTCCTTTATTATTATTATTATTATTGTTGTTGTTGTTATCATCATTGTTATCTGTTTACTCATGTTGATCTCTAGTGATGATACAACAGTGTGGTAGACTTGGCAAACCCAATGTTAGAATTGACTCCCACTTCTACCACTTACTTGTGTGACTTTTGGAAAATTTCATCTTCTTTCTGATCTCTTTTCTTGTTTGTCCAAAGGTGAAGATACGATCTTCCTCCAAGACCGGCTTTGTGATCAAACAGGCTAATGTTATTAATTGCTATTTTATTTTGTTTTGTTCTTAAGACAGGGGTCTTACCATGTGGCTGGCCTGGACCTTGCTATGTAGACCAAGTTGGCATTGAACTCACAGAGCTCCTCCTACCTCTGCCTTCTCAGTGCTAGGATCAAAGACATATGCCATCACAGCCAGCTCAAACAGGCTAATGTATGGGTATTTCTTTGAAAGTATAGGCTGTAGGGCTCTGGTGATCTCTGCCCATATGGAGTTGCAGAGGGATGAACAATCCCTCCATAACTGGATCTCCACAGTGGGATTTGTCGATATACTATCTGTATTACTTTAAAAGGAGACATTGTGCATTTGCTGGAGGCCAGACAAGCTTTGCCTCCAGGCACAGGGAAATTGAGGCTGGAAGAACTGATGACGTGTGTTTGAAGTGGCTGCCCCAAGCAGTCTTCTTTGCTTCCTCTGGCAAAGGGGCTGATTCTGTCTCCCACCTCTGCCTGGCTGGCTGGGGACCTCAGTTAGGCCAATCTTGACTGGATCTCAGGGTCAAGCCCACAGAAATATGTTCTGTGGATCTAAAAAAGCTTGTATGGGCCTATCCATGGGTGGGAGTGATGGAATCAGAGAACTAGAGCATTTTTACCTTCATGCTGCCTCAAATAAGGAAATGGAGACCTAGACAGGCTAAGCTACCTCCTCCAGTCACACAAGAATTATTGGAGTCTGGAATGGGGACCTCAGGAGTGAAGTCTTGAGTGAGAAGACTCTGGGCCCTGTGTGGTCACCCTGATCAAATCATTTGCTATCTTCGCTGACTACTAGTAGAGTCATGTCCGGAGGCCAGGTCCTGGGGGAGGAAGAGAGGAGTTTGGCACCATTTGAGATTTAGGGTTCCAGTGATTTCCTAATGCAGCATCATCAAGGAGCCAACACTAAGCTGACCCTGGGGGGAGTGCAGAGAGCATATGAGAGAGACCCTCCTTGCCAGAGGAATGAACCAAGGGAAGGAGGGGCAATTGAAAAGAGAGAAATGGAGACGGATGGCAGGAAGTGGGAGGAAAACTTCATTTGTGGATTGTCCTGAAGCTATTTGACAGGCAATTTCCTCTGGAGATCTTTTCAGTGAATTCACTTCTATCAGGCAGGGTACTTTCCTTCTTCTCTTATTTCTCCTCTTCACCCTTCCTCCTCCCCCTCCTCCTCCTCCCCCTCCTCTTCCTCCTCCTCCTCCTCCCCTCCTCTTCCTCCTCTACTTCCTCCTCCTTCTCCCCCCCACTTCTTCTTTCCTTCCCTGACTTCCTCTCTCCTCTTTTCCACCTAAGTGGCCCCATGGAAGTGAACTAGCATAGGCAACAGCAGCATTAGAATCTGGTGCTGTATAATGCTGTCTGTACCTCAGTGTTCTTAGCAAGCTATTACAAGAAGGTCAGGTCAGAGTGTGATAAGTATCTCCGCCCCCATTACCACCCACAGTTAACCAGGTTAGGGAAGTGGAGTTAGATCCTGGACACTGTTTCCCATACTGGTCCCAACCCAGTCCTTGGTGCTGCCAGCTGCCCTTCACATTGCATCTCCCTGCTTTGTTGGAGAGGTTAGGTGGATGGGGGGGGGCGGTGCATAGAACGGCTATAATGGAGAGATTTTCAATTTCTTCCTCACTTAAATGGGAATGGTAGCGTACAGTCTTCTGTTTCATAGGGTTACAGTGAAGACTTTGGATTTAGAAACCACTAAGAGCCAATGGTTGATACTTGGGGAAACTGCTGATGTTTATTGAGGTCACCTCTTCCCCTGGAGGAGATCCCCATCACTGCAGAAACACCTGCTGACTCCAAGGCTCATGCTGCAGGAGACTTGCCCCTGCAGGGCAGGCACTGCTGGGAGGCCTGTCTGCTTACCAGCCCAGCTGTTTCCCCAGGCTCCAATTTTTCTGCTCTTGCCTGGCAGAGCTCTGTCTCCTGAACTCTACTTAGGACTGATAAATCTAACCCAGAAATCAAAAAAACAGTTTATTTGAAGTGAATTTTGGCTTATTGAATTCCCTCTTCATGCCCTAAAGTCATAAATCCCCAGCTGAAGAACCTTCTAGAATGAAAGTTTTTAGCCTTCTTTGGAAAAAAAATTACAAAGAATTAAAAAAAAAAGAGTCATAAAGAAGAGGCATGTGTGCTAGTGTCCAGGCCACACACCAAGCTGGCTTCGTATCCTTGGACTTCCGTGGCTTTAGAATAAATGAAACTGAGAATTACCTGGAATAGGATATGAGGAACTCATCTGCTAATGCAAAGCATTTCTGAGTGTCTGCTGAGTGCTGGCCTGTCCTTGCCCAAAGTCAGGCAAATTAT